GAGGGGATAGAAGGGAGGGGATAGAAGGGAGGGGAGAGAAGGGAGGGGAGAGAAGGGAGGGGAGAGAAGAGAGGGAGAGAAGGAGGGGAGAGGAAAAAATACGATTCAAGGCGAGGATAGGAGCGAGGAGGGGGAGGGAGAGAGGAGGAAACGGCAAAAAAGACTGTTTACAGCTTGCCATGGGAACTTGCTCACCTCAAGACCGCGGAAGATGTCTCCCTTTGCATCTGCGAGGGTCTTTCCTTGCTCGCGCGTGATGATGTTGGCCAGCTCATCGGTGTGCTCCCTGATGAGGTTCTTTGAAGACCGTCAAGCCTTGGCTCCTCCTCCTTTCCGCCTCCCATCCCCATCCTCCTTCTCCCTTCCATCGTCTTCCATGTTGTCGTCTTCCTCCAACTCCTCTTCCCAATCCTCCTTCACCACCACCTCCACACACGTCTCCTCCTCCTCCTCCTCCTCCTCTACACACGTCTCCTCCTCCTCCTTGCCTTCCACCCTCTCTCTTTCCTCCCTTCCTCCTCCTTTCTCCACCTGGAAGCGAAACATGACTCTCTGCCTCTCAGAAACTGAGACCTGATCACAAATTATCACAATCACTTCACAACTTTCCTACGAGGTACACAACCTTGGACCATGAAGCTGCAGCTGCGGTTGCTGCCTCCACGCACATCTTCATCTCATCCTCCGTTGCTTGGGGGACCCGGGAGATCAGCTGGAGGGAGGGAGGGAGGGAGTTTTGTGAGCTGACTGGTCAAGGAGCAAGCAAGGAAAGCACCTCCTGTGTGGCTGGGTCCTTCACATCGAAGAAGGTGGTGGACTTGGAAGGGACCGCTTTACCGTTGATATGGTGCGCGAGAACAGAGACTGGATACAAGGCAGACTTGAGCTATACGGCATAACATTTCCTTGTGCAGATAATGACCTGAGCGATGGAAGAAAGAAAGCTTTCTCCTTGAAGCGAGAAAGATCATGTGGCGATTCATGGCATAAATCTCTACCACGTGTCAGGATGCTCGACAACATTCTTATCGGTATAAACTTTGTTTGACTGTGTTGAAAACTTTGTTTGAGTTGCACTCACTAGCTCTCAGGCTCTCAGGCTAGCTTGAAGGATGTTGCATGGCACCATCCTTCCTTCCCTTTGTCAATCATGGTTCAACCCTCGCCCCTCCTCCTCTCCATCTTCCTCTCCTTCCGCTCTCTCCCTCCCTCTCCTCCTTGCTTGCTGCTCTCCTTGCTTTGTTTCCTTTTTGTTGCGGTTCTTGCGCCCTACCCTGACTACCCCACCCCCAATTTTTTTCATTTTCCAAATCACACCCTCATATTTGCAGATTTGCTACTTAGTACCCGTATTATTTACAAGTGTATTACCCCTCTAATCCCTCAACTTTACCACCCTACCATGATTTTGCTCCCGAAGTCGTGTTTACACCCTACCTGCAACGGCCCCCAGATAGCACCCGACCCCCTTTCCTGTTTATTTTGTGTCAGATCCTAGGGGGTGGTGAGTAGAAACGACAAGGGAGAGGAGAGACGAGGGAAGGGGGACGGGAGGGGAGGAGGAAGGGAGGGGAGGGGAGGAGGGAGGAGGGAGGAGGTAGGGGAGGGGAGGAGGAAGGGAGGGGGGGAAGAAGCGAGAGAGGGAGGGAGGGAGGGAGGGAGGGAGGGAGGGAGGGAGGGGAGGGAGGGGACGACAGAATAAGAAGAAGTGAGATTACATTCGGCGAGATCTACGTTGGTAGGATGAAAAATGAGAAGATCGCTCTGATAGAAACAATGATCATCGCCCGTGGACGCAGTGGGCTGAAAGTAATGAAATGCTCATCAGAGCCGTGTGGAGATTCCACAGCATCTTGAAATCTTTATATGCAAATGCACACAAACACTCCTGTCCCGCATTGCAACCAGAAGTCGTCCTCGTCATGACCAGGGATCAAAAGACGTCTTCTTCTGATCCAGAGCAAACGTCGGGAGGGGGGAGAGCTACACGCACGAATGAAAAAGTCAACGAGTAGACCAAGGGGGGAGACACGATGGAGAGGAGGAGGAGGAAGGGGGCAGGAGCAGTCCAAGAACCTTGGAGACGATGGAGTCCCGGAAGGGAAGGAAGTTCTCTCCGTCACGCATGACCGGTTGCTCCCGCGGCAGCATCGCCTGTGAACCAACACGGTTGGAGGAGATTCCAGGGATGCTCCTGCTCCTGCTCACCCTCGGCCTCTCCGGCTGCCGCGGGGCGCTAATGAACTGAAGGTCCTGTATGCCGGGCCCGTACAGGGCCTTCGTCTTCCAGCTGTCGAGCTCTGCTCTCGCCCAGCTGGTCAAGGGCATGTTGCGAGCAGAGCAGGACCCCACCTGTTGACCTGGGGTCGTTGACGGGCTCCCCCCAGAGGAAGGAGATGTCGCTGAACTCGTCCATGGGCGTGACGATCTGCGGCGGGTCAGCGGGTGCCGAGGAGGGAGAGGGCAGTCGCTCACGTCCGACCGCCGGAAGTTCCTGGCGCTCCTGCTGGAGGCCTGGACGTAACCGTCCCCTCCTCGGGGATCGAACATGCCAGGAGCGTCCAAGGGAGGATGGGAGCGCTCTGGGAAGGCATCTGCTGCCTTCCTCGGCTGCGTCCTAGTCGCTAGCCCCTGAGCCTCAGCCCTCACCGTTGTAGGAGCAGCATCATGTTGCATGCTCCTGGGCTCGGCAGGACGAGGCTGGTCCGCTCCCCTGGGCTGAGCAGGCCCCTTGGACCTCAGCAAGGTCACCACGACCTGCGGAGTAGGAGGAGGATGAGCTGAGAGATTGGGAGAAGTTTGCGCTCCCAACAGCACCTGCTCTGCTGGAGGGCCTGACTTGCTCTGGTTAGGAGCTGGGCGAGAGAAGATCATCGTGATGGGCGTGTTTGCGGGGCCTGCAGCTGGGCCGTCAGCTCGAAGTGGAGGGGACCAGTGGAGCGACCGATCATGAGCTTCTCGACTTCCTCCTTGGACTTCCCCGCCATGTCCTGCGCAGGAGGGGCAGTGAGGCCGGCTCTCGAGATGATGCGGAGGTTCATGGCAAGTCCGCCTCACCCTCCCGTCAACGTCCAGCAGGACGTCCCCAGCTCGCAGCTGCCGCGAAGACGATCAGACGAGCAGGGCGTCAGGTGGGGGGATGCAGGGCACACCAGCCCATTCTTCGACGCGGGGCTCCCGGGGACGAGGTCGAGCACGACAGCGTTGTAGGCATCGGGAGCTCCGTACGCTCGAGTGGTCCACAGGATGCCGACGTTGCCCTCGAACTGGTTGAAGTTCATGAACTCGGAGAATTCCTTCTCCACCGGCGCAGCCTCGGAGAGCCTGGAGGTGAAGGTGAGGAGGGAGGAGGGCGGGGGAGGGGCGAGCTTACGCGACCCCCGGAGGAAGCTCGACGGAGGCCTCGAGGTAAAGCTGGGGATACACCGTGTTCTTCCTGAGCGAATCCTTGGGGCCCTGGAGGAACCTCAAGGGAGGAGGAGGAGGGGGAGCCAGTGGCGCTCCAAGAAATTTGTGGACGTACCAGGAGCTGGGAGAGGTGAGACTCTTCGTTGGACAGGTCGAACCATCCGGTCACAGAGCCCTGTGAGAGAGGATGGCGTGATGAAGTTGTTGCTGGAGATGGAGGAGCAGGCGGGGAAGAGACGGAGTGAAGAAGCGAGGAGGAGATGGAGGAGGGAGGAGGAGATTGCGGGAGGAGGAGAGAGGAGACCTTTGTAGTGATGAAATCCAGTGGAACATTGATGGACTCCCCAATGCTATCGTCCATCAGTTTTGCTGCCCAGCTAGGATTCAGCAGGGGCGACCGAGAGATCATCGGCACCATCAGCGTGCTCGAGTGAGACACGGGCGCACGCCTTAGGCAGGATGAAGTGATCGATGCCGAAGGTGAAGGCCTGGAGGGAGGCGAAAGAAAGGAGTCAGGAAAAGTATGAGACAACTCGAGAGCCTTCCCCTAGCTCACCTCGTTGAACTCCAACTCGTTGGAGCCAAGGAGCAGGCGAGTCCTGCGACGCTCAGGGTTGATGACCGACAAGTCCGCAGCGTGTCCTGCCCTCTACCTCGCTTTCTGCAGCTTCTGTCGAGGAGCCTCGAGGTAAGCGATGGCATACACTTCGCCTGACTGCCTGAGAGGAGACGTTAGTCAGGAGCTCGCCTCCTCCGGCCCTAAGTTGGCACCTGTACTGCGGGGGGATGTGTCCTCGAACGATCCGGATGTGAACTTTAGCATCTGAGGACCTGGGAACATTAGGAGTCCCTGCACCCGTCAGCTGCACTCGCTGCACATCCCGCATGTGGAGTACTCATGGCAGTGTCGAGTTTCAGAGGGATGCCGTTGGCGCTACCCAGCCCTTCCGTCCTCTGACAAGGCCGTAAGACCCTTGACAAGCTCTTGCAAGCAGCATCTTCACCGTCAGTTTGCTGGAGGAGGAGTCCTGGATCCCTGGAGCCTTGTTGGTCTGGCTGCCACCATCGACGTCACATCCAGCCTGCCTGTCGCAAAGGAGCAACGCAACCTTGCCACAGGATCGGACATGGGAGTTCTTCCTCCAGATCTGGTGAGGCTGCGGAGGCAGGTGAGCACGAGGCGAGGAAATATCGAGAGATCCATGTGATAGCTTCGTACCTCGGGCTCAAATTGCCATCGTCGATGCCCAGCAGCAAACGCAACGTGAGTCTTGCCGGTTCCTGCCATCATGTGTCAGGAGAACGAGCCATCTGCGTCCTCTAGCCGATACCTTGCTGCTGAGTTTTGACTCGGGGCCCTGCTTCACTTCAAACTGCTGCTCTATGAGCTGACCCTGACAAGCAGCACCGTGACGGGTGGCCAGACAGAAGGACTGTCGACCAGACCTCGTATGCGACCAGCTTGGAGACATTGAGGACTACCTCGCCCAGAAAGGCTGATTCATCATCGTTTTCTTCGCAACTTGTGTCCCACAGGGTGATTTCGAGCTTTCCCCATCAAACGTCAGCACGGCCTTCTAATGCCAGTGAGGCTGAACCTGGGCGTCGTTCGGGTCCGGGATTGTGAAACCAAATTGCTGCTCCCACACCGGGTCTCTCGTCTTGGCAGTCCGTCAGATGACGTAAAGGGACGTCAGTAGCACAACGAACTTGATTGGATATTGAAGTCTTCTCGAACGCAAGCTCCTCATCGTGACATATCGCCCTTAGCTCGCACTGAACGTCGGCGACACCTACCACGGGCTACTCTCACTTCAAGCCATGACAAAACGCTCTGGCGACAAACCTCCATTCACCGCCTGCATTCCATGCCCCTGCATGACCACCACCTGCACCACGGTGACTCAATCCTCAGGATGATGATGATGATGATGATGATGATGATGATGATGATGATGATGATGATGATGATGATGATGATGATGATGATGATGATGATGATGATGATGATGATGATGATGATGATGATGATGATGATGATGATGATGATGATGATGATGATGATGATAATGATGATGATGAGGAGGAGGAGCAGGAGTTCATACCTGGAGGATGTGATTGGCCACCATGTTGTCCCTCTGCTACTCCGACAACCGGACCGGGCTGCCTGATATCAGGCAGACTGCACATGCATAAGAATCCAGTCAACGTCTTTTTCAAGTCAGTTTTAGGTAGAATAGACACTGTCGAGGCTTTCTCGGTCTCTCTATCACCTCCTTGTCCTCTACTTCTCTCTCCCCTGAGCTTTTCACAGCTTGCCAAGTTTTACGTTTTCCCTCCGGGCCTCACCTACCTTCCTTGTCCTCGATCTTCCCTCCTCTCCCCTTCTCTCCTCTCCTCTCCTCCCACTCTCATCCTCTCTTCCCGCTCTCCTCCCTCCTGTTGTCTCCTTAATCCGCCATGGACGGGTGCCATTGAAAACTTTTGACCCGATCGTTTTTGCAACGGAATTCAACGGAGGAGAAATAGAAGTAACGATCAATGTAACGGTCTGGGAAGGCGGGAAACATGGAGTGGGACGATGGTGGAGGTACGTCAGGAGGTGCGAGGGAGAGATGGAGGAGGAGGAGGAGGGGACGGGAGAGAGGAGGGAAAACAGAGGAGAAGAGCAGGGGAGGGGAGGGGGGAGAGGAGGAGGGTGGAGGAGGGAGGAGTGAAGGGAAGAGTAGGTGCAGATCGAAAGTGAGTGCAAGGTTTGGGCAAAGGGGTGAAGAGATGGAGAGAGGAGAGGAGGAGAAGAGGTATGTCCTTCCTATGGGGGATTGTTCGGAGAGAGTGGTTGAGGAGAGCTGCCGATGCGACAGGTCAGGAAGAGGAGGCAGAGGACGTGGATTGAGTGAAAAGGAGGAAGACAACATCGGAAGGAATGAGAGAGATATAGCATCATGGAAGGAGGAAAGAAAGGCTAGAACCGACGTGGTGAAATGAAGGAGCAGGGACGAGGTAGTAGATGATATGCTGTCAGTAGAGGAGGGGTTGGAAGATTTAGAAGAGGAGCAACGAATAAATGCGCTGAAAAAGCTTCCATGTTATGTGATCCATGACATCCTCATTCATGTTCGCAGGCATACCACGGAGCTCAGTGATTGATGACGATCAGATTGTAGTTCCGGCAGACGAATTCGATGATGATGACGATGATGATGCAGTGGGTCTGATCGAAGAACAAGATGAAAAAGTACCTTCATGTGTTTTCGCACACCCAAGATTTGACTTCCTCCCAGGATGACTTGGACCACGAAGCGAATGAAGAGGAAGAGGTTTTGTGACATTGTGTTACAAATTTATGCCTGCCTTATTCCTGTTTTCAGGATGAGAATGACCAAGGAGACATCGAGGAGGAGGAAGAAATTCTTGGAAAAGTGAGATTCAATCTTGATCCCTCCTGTGCTGAAGCTCCCAAGCAGGCGGGATCGAGTGAGTTTGTTGAGGGCGAAGAAGCGGATGCAGGGGAAGAGGAGGAGGAGGAGGAGGAGGACGCAGATAAAGCCGAGGACGCAGAGGAGGATGAAGATGAAGAAGAAGACGAGGGGCAGAATGATAACCAGCTTATCTCGGAAAGCGTTTATGATGGGTCTGTTCAACCCACCCCCAGTGCAGATGGAAGAGGCCATGGAGCCCTCGATGCCTTGTTGGCGGCCGCAGCTTCCAATGAAGGTGCATCAGGAGAACAAACATCTGCGAAGACGGACAAGCCGGCGAAAAAAAAGGACGACAAAGTGTGGATCCCCGCAAAGAGACATGTTCCACTTGAAGAGCATCAGCATTGGCAACAAGACACGATCAAATGGGTGGAGAAACACATGAAAGACCACAAGGTCACGCATGCGCAGGTACGTGTCTCTTTGCGTGTATCAAACCTCGGTTCTGTGTAAGATGCAATTCAGCTCTCACGTCGCTCCGGTGTACCCCCGGACCGACTTGTGGAGTACTTAGAACAGCGATCAACAGTCGATCCGCGAGTAACCAACCAAATTCGTCGATACATTCGAAAGTAGGCATCATCTCATTCACTCTGACACCTGAACAACCCTGAATGTCTTTTGCTAGTTTTCTTGATCGTGAAAAGAAGGACAAAGAAAAGCGTCAGAAGGAATTGCTCGAGGGGAATGCAGAAAAGAAGCCATCTCACAAGGTACAATGGGACACATGAAGGCTTGCAAACTGAAGTTCCTGTCAGATTCAATACCACAAGAGGGCTGAGACCAGAGATTCCAAATCCAAGGAGTTGGATCCTCAGAATTTGATCAAGATCGATGATTCACCCATGTGATCATACAATTTTTAGTTCCACAACTCATGCTGAAGTCTTTCCTAGATCTGTAGACGCTTTGCCTGAATGGTCCGTGCCGATTGAAATAAGTATCAATCACGAGGGACACAATGTGATGCTTTATTTGTTTTATCTTCGCAATTTGTTTTAATGGTTTGGATCTCTGATTTTGGACTTGACAGGTTCAGGAACGTATTTTATGGAACCTGAAAGATGATTATGTGGAGCCGGAGGACTTTGCTGCAGCTTTTTGCAAAGCTTATCATCTCCCGGCTACTTCCGAGAACGAAATATCAGAAAGCATCAGAAACCAGGTCTCTAAGTATCCTCGATGGGCTCCCATGAAGCGAGGAGCCCGGAATTCACAGCCAGAAACCATCGTCGATCTGGAGATTAATGTAGAGGTTGGAATCATTTTGTTTACGCATAGTTTATCATAATCTTGAGTGACAGGTGGAGGGCCTCAAGTTCCATGACAGGCTCCGTTGGGATCTGCTGGATAGAAAGAGTAATCCTCGGACGATTGCTGCGCAAATATGCACCGACTTAAAACTCCCGGCGTTTGCTGTAAATCCATGGAGCCAGCCAGCATGCGCTTGAGCTGATGCAGTTGCAGGTTTCTGCGATTGATACTGAGATCAGAAATCAAATCAAGAAGAAAAGTCAAGATCTCTGGCAGGATCCAGCATCTTCAGACAAGTACTCGCTGCCGTGAGAGGAGGAGCAAGAGAAATGACTCTGTTGTAGCATATTAACAGGCAGCTCGACCCATGACCTTGAAGCGCTGAATGAATGGACACCCAAGATAAATGACCAACTCAGTATCTTGCTGCCCTCACGTCTTCCTCCGAAATCTGTGAGGGGTCGATTTGCATCTCAAGCTCTGGTAGCTGACGAGTGGATAGACGTACAAGGAAGAAACGGACAAGAGCATGATGGTCGACGAGACTCAGGAGGACTTGGAGTACTTTCGTCAACAAGAGCAAAAGGTAGTGCTTCATCAGCTTTCCTCCCGACGTGAGTTGTTATGCCAGCTGAGAATGCACAACGACATGCTCAAGTCAGCCGTTGCAAGTCCCCTCACGTCGCAGTTCCCTGCGCTGAATCAACCGCTCTTCAATCAGAATTCTTCGACACCCAGCGGAAAGGGAAAGTCAAAAGGCTCTTCAGGACGCAAAGGCTCCAAGGCATCAGCACTGGCCCAGGGCAACAACATCGCAAGTTTCAACCAAACAGACAACCGGATGCCTCCGAGCACGAATGGAACGTACCAGCAGATGCTTGGCAGGGGAGAACTGGACGTGTCCTTTGGCTCACTTGGAGCAGGGATGCATGGCATGGCAGGGAGTATGAATCAAAACCATCCCACAAATATTCAAGGGGGCAGGTGCTTGAGAGCCTGTTGCTTGTTCAAACTCACTTGTCACCAGCAGCGGGGGTCACAGGTTTGTAGTAGATAACGATCTGAATGGCCGGCAAGCCGGAGTCACCCAGCTATCCTTCGATGTCCAGGGGAATCTGACGCAGAAGAAGCCCAACAAGAAGCAGAAGGTAGTCGGACTTGACTGAACTTGACCTGCTGCCTTCATGCTGATCTTCTGTCAATAGAATCGTCAGTCCGCCCCCTCCTCGTATGGAAGGAGTGAGATGGGTGCTCCAGGCCGTCCATTGCCTCCTCCCTCGTCCTCTCCCTATCGGAACAGCTCTCTACAGAATCCAGCAGCGAATTTCGGGGGCGGCCGGGGGCAACTTACCGTCGAGACCATCCAGATGATGTCAGAGGCATTGATGGCAGATGAGAATCAGTACGACGCTGCCTATGGCAACCAGTGGTGAGTCTTGCTGAACTGATGTACATAGTCTTGTAGATACTCGAACAACTAAAGAGCAAAAGGAGTAAAGCCATAATGACAGCGCGGGGAGCGAGTAGTTGTGAGGACATTTTTATTGCGATGCAGGCAAAAACTTGGAGGATGGAATGGCGGAGAACTTGGCGATCAGCTCCTGCTGCAGCACCACGTTCTTCTGACCTACCGTCCCATCCCAGGTGATGGGGTTGCCCTGTGTGCGGCAGTGAGCAGCGGGCAGCGTCACATGCTCTGCTCCAACCTCGTATGTCAGGCGCTTGAGGATGGGAAATGAAGTTAAGAGGAAGGGAGGGATGCGACTGATCTGTGGATGGGCCCGATCTCAGTGACTGCAGACCTTGTCCTGCCCTGTGCTCGCGGACCTGATTGTTGGCGACCATGAGATTTTGTAAGTTGCTGCAGTTCTCGAGCCCAGAAGGGAACCTGAGGGAAGTCAGCGAGAGGAGAGAATTGATGGGAGCAGGAATGAAAAAGCAGCAGCAAGGGGGAGAGCGAGGGAGAGATGGTAAGGAAGAAAGGGGCAGGACGCGACGAAGCAGAGGAGGTGAGGAGGAAGAAGTGTCGAGTGGAAAGGAAGGAGAAAACTCAGTCGGGACAGAGGAGGGTGACGGAGAGGAGGGAGGAGGGATTCACTCTTCGAGGATATTGGAGGAAAGGTCGATTGTCTTGAGCTTGATTGTAAACACTTCGGGAGGAACGTGATCGATCTGTCAAATGTCAAGAAGGTTGACGACGAGTGAGGAAGAGTAGACTTTGTTGGAGGCAAGCATGAGCTTCCATAGCATCTGCAAGTTCCCTACAGACGCCGGGACCTGTACATCCTTCAGTTGAGGTCCTGCTCCTGCTCCTGCTCCTGCTCCTGCTCCTGCTCCTGCTCCTGCTCCTGCTCCTGCTCCTGCTCCTGCTCCTGTTCCTGTTCCTGTTCCTGCTCCTGCTTCGCCTGCCCCTTGCCCTGCTCTCCTCCTCCTCTTGCAGCCTTTTCATGGCCTAACTCACCGTCTTGAGAAGGTTCTGATTCACTTCCAACACCTCCAGCGACTCCAGCTTATCTGCAACGAGATGCTCAGAGCAGCGAAGGAGCCTCAATCGTCCTGCTTGCCGATGTCATCCGGTATACTTGACAGCCAGTTCTTCGTGAGCTGACAGCGGGAGGTCAGCACGAAATGCAAAAACCTCTCCATCCCCAGCTCACTATCAGCTCGTCAAGGTCTTTGAAGTTTCCAAATTCGGGTAGCACGTCCAAAGCATTCCTGCCGGGGGGCGGTTTAGCCGAGTTAGCTCCTCCTTCCTCTCCCTCTCCCTCTCCGTCTTTCCTCCCCCTCTCCCTCCCCTCTTCCCTCTCGTTCGTCCTTCCCACCTGTAGAGCTCGAGCTTCTGTACTTTGGTGATCCCGGTGAGGGCAGGAAGGACTACCTGTATGCTAGTGAGGACAGTCGGACGATGCAACGCGAGTTTACAATCTTGTTGTTGAACAGAGCGAGTCTTGTGAGATTGGTCAAGCTACAGGCATTCTTTGTCATGACTTGCGAGGAGGGAGGTGGGGGATCAAGGAGGACGGGAGGAGAGTAGTGAGGCAACATGAAAGGAGTGAGGAACAAAGGGGAGGGAGGGAGGGAGGGAGGGAGGGAGGGAGGGAGGGAGGGAGGGAGGGAGGGAGAGAGGGAGAGGAAAACAAGTCAAGATGTCCACCCGTCGAGAGGAGGGATGGTCTTCAGCTTGTTGTCGGCGAAGTTGACTTCCTGCCGAATTTTGTTGAGTTGAAGTCGAGGGGCAAAGGGAGTGAAACCCTTAGGGACGAGAGCTCCCCAAGGACAGCAGGGATCTTGATGACCTTGTTGTTGAACACCTGATAACAAGTTTGACAAGCTGTTGAGGGAGCGAAGGAGGTTGGAACAAGGTCCTCACTCACGTTCAGTTCCTGAAGCTTCTTTAGACTCGCGATTTCATCCGGGAGCACCGCCAGGTCGTTCTTGTACAGGTGGAGTCTGACGAGGCTGCATGACGGAAAGTCAGCCCGCGGGCCCCGGCCCCCTCGGGACTCTCACTTGGTCATGTGCTGGATGGTAGGAGGCAGGCTCTTGAGCTTGTTATCGCTAAGATCAAGCTTCTCCAAGTTGGTCAAGAAGCCAATCTCTGCTCTCATCGTCAGATCGCGGAGTTGCCAGCAGACCTCAGCAGCGACCAGGCGGCAGCTCGATGAACAGCTGCGGGGCAGAGGAACAGGTCAGCAGCGAGCAGGCGCGCATGAGCCCTCCTGCTCACGTTCTCGCTGCAGTTCAACTCCGTGAGGAAGTCGAGCTTCTGGATGTTCTTGGGAAAGATCTTCGGGGCAACCAGATGCAGTCAGTCCCTGCAGCAGGAAGAACATGATCCTGCCTCCAGTCTGTTGATAGAGATGTTGAGGAACTTGTGCAGATGAATCTTCTTCGACTTTGTCTGTTTTCGATAGAGAACATCTCAGTTTTCGGCAGCGACGTTCATGACACCTGGGCATACCAACTCCTGGACTTTCGCTTCTTTGAACCCTGTTGGTATTCCATGACGGTCAGCGAACGGGAGCAGTAAGTAGACATCTCTCTTGTACCTGAGGCCTGCAGCTCCGCCATCAGGTCGCCGCCCTTGTCCACCAGCGTACCTGCAGGAGACGTAAGACGGACAGCAGCTGTAGCCCAACAGCATGTCGGAGCTGCAAGAGGCGGCAATGAACCCTCACCTCTGCATATGTTGCTGAGGGCCTGCATTGCCCGCGATGTAACACGTTACTCCCCCTCCTCCTGCTGATGAAATGTGAACACCAAACACTCACTCAGTGCATGCTACGTTCTGTTCGGATCATCTAGTGTCTTCCATCTCTTCTCACACCTGCTGCTATTCCTCCATTGTGCCCCTTGCAATTTGTCCTGCCGATCCTTTGACCTATGCATTCTCCTGCTCCTTCCTCCTCTACATCTCTACTTCTCCACCTGTCCTTCTCCCGTGTCCTTTCCCCGCCTTTCCTCCTCCTCCTCCTCCTCCCTCTCAACCTTCCTGCCTCCTGCCTTCCCCTCCTGCCTTCCCCTCCTGCCGCCCGCCTTCGTCTGGCATGTCAAACATCGCCGGGTCAACCGCCTCCCAGACTCCGTACCCCCACCCCCTAATATTCAATCAACCACCCCATAGTTTAAGGCTACCCCCAGCTCCTGCGGAAGTTAGTAGCGGCATATCCTCTCCTCCCTCTCCTCCCTCTCCCACTAGCCTTCTACCTCCCTTGCTCCTGCTACCACACCATCCTCCTACTTCCCTTGCTCCTGCTCCCTCCTCGTATTCATGTCCCACTCTCCTCCTCCCTTCCACTCCGGCTTCTGAGGATGCTGTCAAGCTCAACACTCGCAGATTGACAAAGACGGTTTTCAGACCTCCCACTCTTCTGACAGATTTTATTCCAAATTCAACAACTCTCTGCGCAACCAAGTTGTCACGCTCACGCACAACGGGCAGCTGGAATGACAGCAACAAACAAAGACAGCGATACTCCTCTTAAACATACATCCAGCTTTCGTTTACCTGCACAACACAATGAGAGGTTGACGAGTCTCAGGCGTATCAATCTCTACCGGACTCGCGCGCCTCAAGCTTCACCTTTGCACTCCTTGCAGAACCTCCTGATTCTGCTATGATCGCAGATCGCCGACCCCTTGCACTCCTTGCAGAACTGTCGCTCTCGGTTGTGCTCGCAGATTCCTGGGCCCTTGCAGTCCTTGCATCTGCTCCGTCTCTGGTTGTGCTCGCAGATCCCGGAGCCCTTGCAGTCCTTGCAGAACCTCTTGACGCGATTGTGCTCACAGATGCACTTCCCCTTGCAGTCCTTGCAGTGACTCTTCTGCCGGTTGTGGACACAGATATCTGACCCACCGCACTCCTTACATCGCCGACGCTCACGGTTGTGCTCACAGATCCCAGACCCTCTGCAGTCCTTACACTGGCTCTTCTGCCGGTTGTGCTCGCAGATCGCTGATCCCTTGCACTCCTTGCACCGGCTCCTCTCACGATTGTGTTCACAAATCCCCGACCCCCCGCATTCCTTGCAGATTCGCTTCACCCTGTTATGCTCACAGATACCCGAGCCTTTGCACTCCTTGCAGAAACGCTGCTCCCTGCCGTGCTCGCATATCCCAGAGCCTTTGCAGTCTTTGCATCGCCTCCGCTCCCGGTCGTGCATGCAGATGCTGGAGCCCTTGCAGTCCTTGCACCTGCTCCTCCTCCTCTCATGCTCGCAGATCCCTGCTCCTTTACAATCCTTGCACAGGCTTCGATGCCTGTTATGTTCACAGATGCCAGAGCCCTTGCATTCCTTACAGAACCGACGCTCGCGGTTGTGTTCACATACACCCGTCCCTCCACAGTCTCGGCAGAGTCTCTTCTGTCTGTTATGTTCACACACCTTTGGCCCACCGCATTCCTTGCACTGGCTGAACTTCCGATCGTGCTCGCACATCCGGGGTCGTTTGCCCCTCATCTTTTGAAGGTTTGCAGCCGTCTCCTCCAGGTCCTGCTGAGCCGTATCTTTGATCACCCCAGCTTCCTCCTGCCTGACTGGCTTTTGCTGGCCTTCTTCGTTCAACTCCTTCTGCTCCATTGCCTTGTCTCCCTGTCCCTCGCCTGCTTCCCCTGCCTTCGTCTCCTCAGCCGGAGTGTCTCGGTTGTCAACAGCAGATGGTTGCTGCCTCCCCGGATCTTGCTCAGACTGCCTCTCTGCCTGCTTCTCTTGCGCAAGCACATTGATAGCCTCCTGCCCTTTCTCAGCAGCTTGCTGTTGACCCAGGAGGTGTTGACTTTGTTCAGACTGCTTCTCCTTCTGCTGCTGCTGGTTCCCCTCCAGCTGCGGTTGTTCCCCCCCGCCACCTTCTTGTCGGGCTGCATCCTCGGAGTCAATCTTCCTCCCCTCTACATCCATCTTCTCTGCATCTTTCGGTTGCTGTGCGGCGGAGGCGCCGCCAGCCGTCGGCATGTTCTCGTCCGGTCTCCCTGCCGCGCTCATGCCGCGATAACGGGAGTTGTTGATGGAGGTCGGGGGTACTTCATTACCCCCTACTATCCCCCGAATGGTGCGATATTGAGTGGGTGGGGGTGATTTTACTATCATGGGTGGACATTTGAGTGGCTGGGTGCTTTTGTAACGGCAGGTAACGACTGAGTGAATGTCACCGGGGCCCCGGGCCCCGGCAGTTGAGTAAACTTTAAAAGGTGATTCGGCAAGTTTGACAAGCCTGTGCGCCATGGGCGGCGAAGGGAATGGTGGGAGGGAGGGGGAAGGGAGGCGGCGACCGAGTAGGAAGACTCACAAGAACTTGAGCTTAGGAACTCGATAAGTTGCCCGGGAGGCCGCGCACTGAACAGACCTTAGTAAGGTTGATAGTGTACGGTACATACAGGATGAAGGGCTTGCAGCAGACGATGAGTGTAGGGCGGGACTCGATCGACTCCTTGATGAATGTCTGTGGAGACAACCTGGAGGAGGATGCCTCGGACCAGGCACAAGTGCAGGACATCGGGAAGCTCGTGGCGGAAATATCCACGCAAGCGCTGTTGCAGAAGCGCAGGCTGACAGAGTTCAAGTCAAAGACGGCCAAGGTGCAGGGCAAAGGTTTGAATGAGCAGACTAATATGATCGAGAAGTCTTATCAGCAAATCCTCGCCAAGGACCCAAACCATGTTCCCACCATGAACGAGTACGCCCTGTTCAATCTAGTGGTCAAAAGGCAGTACGACGCTGCTGAAGAGCTGTACCTGGCTGCTCTCAATGTAAGCCCGTTTCACACGCTCACTTTGTGCGACTATGGTTTCTTCCTCGAGAGGATACGAGGCGACTTCGATGGAGCAGAGGCCCTCTACCAGCGGTCGCTCAGGGTAGACCCCCAGCACTTGCCAACCCTTGCGAACTATGCGTTGTTCCTGCATGATGTTCGGAGACAGTACGGGAAGAGTTTGAAGATGTACAATCAGATGGTGAGGCTGAACGCGTTCAAGGACGAGGATCCAAACCTCTCCAAGGGCGCAGAGTCTCTGCTGACAAGCGCGCACAAGAAGGATCCAGAAAGTGAGATCATCGAGGAGGAAATTCACCACCTGCGGCTGCAGCAGTCAAGGCGGTACCTGAAGATAACAGAGATGCTGAAGCACAAAGAGGGGGAAGAAACTAGCTCACAGCCCGCACTGGAGTCAAGGAAAGTTGAGGACGTAGACAAGCACGACGAACTGGACGATGACCTTGATATCGACGCTCTCCGAATCAAGGATGCAACGGGGAAAGTAGCGAACGAGGCCTACACTGCCCAGCAGGAGGACAACAGCTGGATCGACTCCCGCTCGACCTCTTGGAAAGCTGCCATCCTGCGGCTGCGGCACCGCTTCTCATGGAAACCGTACTACTTTGTGATGAAGGGCACCAGCATCAGCTTCTTTACTAGTGAGGACTCGTACCTGGCCAGCGAGAAGGAGCTCGGGACGATATGGATCAGTTCCTGTCAGGTGAAATCAGCAAGCGTGACCAACGGGGGAATCTTTCCCCTGAAGTTGGAGGATAAGAAGATGAAGTACAAGTATACCCTCGGGTTCAACGATGGGGTGGTGCGGGATGAGTGGGAGAAGGCGATCTTCAGCACCAAGAACTCGATCAAGCGGGGGCTGGTCAGCGTCCCAGGAGACGAGGGCTCCAAGGAGGAGGCCGAGGAGGTAGCGTTCAAGAGCTTGCTGACGGAGGAACACAAGGCAACCATCTACAAAGGATACCTGAACGAGCTGGACGAGACCGGGCTGAACGAGTATGACTACATGATCGTCATGCCGCAAGTCTTTTCGGGCTGGAGCGCCTCGGCGATCAAGAAGAGGAAGGAGAGCCAGATGGAGATCATCAAGATCCTTCGGATGCAGCACCTCATCGTTCGCTGCATCAAGTCGAGGGACGAGGACGAGCTCTTCCTCCTCATCCGCGCTCCTCGGCCGGAGGAATGGGCGATCGAGAGCAACGCGGGGCAGGGAAGCGGCATGGAGCCATCCGGGGACGAGCTGGCGCTGTACTCGAAGCGCTCTTCGGGGGTCCAGGACTGGCTGACTATGTGGGCGGACAAGCTGAAGCCCGAGTACCTGGTAAGAGAGTTCAAGGAAGGATTCAAGGGCTGCACGCTTCCTTACGACTTTGGGCTCCGCCATCTGTTTGTGAGGGAAGGAGAATTCAACGACCCCCGGGCTGTGAAGCCCATCCGGGTGGACCAGGCGTTCAGGCTTCCAGGGCAGCTGAGGGGGAAGAAGGAGCTGGAAAGGTCGGAGGCGCTCAAGAAGCAGAGCGGGACGCATCTAGGTGAGATGATGGAGGAAGGGGAAGGGAGGAGAGCTTGAAGGAAGGTGAGGGAGCGAGCAGGAGAGATTGATGGAGCTGAGAGAAGGGAGGAGGCAGACAGGGGAGAAATATGATGAGGAAGAGGAGGGAGCAAGGGAGGGAGGGTGAGGGAAGGATCAGAGCGAGAGCAAGATTGAGTGGGCAAGAGCTTGATGGAGGGACTGATTTTCGGACGCAGCCGAGTGGGACCTGAGCATGGAGGCTCACCGGGTGGCGCAGAACTACGCTAAGACGATAGGAGGGAAGCAGAAGTCGTTCACGGACTGGAGGAACGAGCAGATGCGGATCGGGACGATGCGGGCCTCCTCGAAGCGCCAGGAGCTGATCCGCAAGGTGATGGACCTGACGCTGAAGAGGAGGATGACGGAGACTTGGTTCTGCCGCAACGACGAGCTCAACCGAAACTGGATCGAGCTCGAGAGGAGGAGCGTCATCAAACTCATCACCCCCCTCCACCACCAGGCCAGCAACGACTGGCTGAAGCAGAACTGGGCGGGGATATACTGCCTCACTAGCGCCTTTCTGTCTGCTTCTTCCCCCTTGGACGAGGTAGTGGCGTACTTCTCTGAAGAGATCGCCTTCTACTTCGCCTTTATCGGCCACTACAATCGCTGGCTCATCTTCCCTGCCGTCTTCGGCGCTGGAGTCTTCGGATACAACATCATCTATGCCCCCGTAACGCTGGACACCCCGGTGCTGCTCCTGCTCCTGCTCCTGCTCCTGCTCCTGCTCCTGCTCCTGCTCCTTCTCTTATTTTTGTCCTTGCTCTTCCTCCTGCTTCAACGTCACGTATTCCTCTTGTTCCTGTTCTCCTTTTCTTTCTACTCATCCTTGTTCTCTCCCGCTCATTTGCATGTCGTTCAACGGTTGCCTTCCATAACTTATTTTCCCTCTCCTCCTGCTCCTGCTCCTGCTCCTCCTGCTCCTGCTCCTCCTGTTCCTGCTCCTCCTGCTCCTCCTGATCTTGCTCCTCCTGCTCCTCCACCACCACCACCACCACCTCCTCCTCTCCATCCCTTCCCTCCTGCCACCAGCCACACGAGCTGATTCTGTGCAGGCTCTTGTCATCTACATGATCTTCCTGGCTCTGTGGAGCACGCTCTTCCTCGAGACGTGGAAGAGGAGGCAGAGCGAGCTGGCGCACTCGTGGGGGGTGATGAACACAGCGATAGAGCACATCCCTCGCCCTCAGTTCAGAGGCAACGTCAAGCTCGACCTCTGGACGAAGAAGACGGACTACAAGGTGCCCAAGAGGTCAGTGAGGATGCGAATTTTCTCTGTTCCCATCCTCCTCGTGTTCGTTGCCGTGATCTGCATCGTGACTATCTACATCCTCCTCAACAAGAGCGACTTCAAGGCCGACTCTGGAGGAGGAGGCAGCAAGGCCTGGTTCACGGGGGGAGCGTTGAGCACCGGGCTCCTGTGCTCATTTGCGATGATGATCTTCGACCAGGTCGGGCAGACACTGTCTATCGTCCTCACCACGAGAGAGAATCACAAGACGTACTGGGGGCACGAGAAGTCCCTTCGCAACAAGTTCGTGATGTTCCAGCTCTTCAACTTCTTCCTCGCCCTCTTCTGGACGGCCTTCCATGGCGACTTCGGCAGCCTCTGCGTCGCCAGCTCCGATGCCGTCCTGACGTACCAGCAGTGCATCGACCTGCACAAGGCAGGGTACGGCGCTCCCGACGACATCTGCGCGCAGCCCGAGCAGATCTTTCAGAGCTCCGACAAGCTGAACCAGGCAGAGCAGTTCGTCCTGTTTACAGTGAAAAACATGGACCCCTCCGAACTGCGGCAGATCGGGTCGGCGTGCCTAGGGGGTACCACCATGCACTCCCTCTTCCTCATCTTCCTCATCATCTACACCTCTCGCCTTCTCGTCAGCATCTTCACTCAGTACGTGTATGCTCCCTTCTTAGACCGAGTGCGGGAGATCAGTCAGGAGCTCTACCTCAGGACGAGGGTGAGGGACCGGGCGATCGACAGGCTGACGAGGAGGAAGCTGCGGATGGAGCGGCAGAAGCAGAAGAGGATGAACGAGTTGCAGGCGAGGACGACGGACATCCTCCCGATGCCCCCGCTCGCCTCCAAGGATGACGAGAGGAAAGAGGTCTCGCTTCTGGCCAACGCCGGGGGGATCTACGGGCTGGTCATCAAGTTCTTGGAGTGGAGGAGGCAGAGGAAGGAGGCGAGTCGGCAGCACAAAACCGCCAGGAAGAACCGGGAGGATGAGGAGGAGGATGCAGAGGAGGAGGTCGAAGTTGAAGACGACGAGGAGCTGGATGCGTTTGAGGAGGAAGACTTCAGGCAGATCTCCTTCGACATCTCCATCCCTGGCTCGGAGTCCAGATTGTGATATCCTCCTCCTCCTTTGTCTCCTCTCTCGTCCTGGTCCTCTTCCTCCTCCGTCCTCTTCCATTCTCGTCCTCGCCCTCTTCCTTGTCGGCTCATCCTCTTTGTTGCCCTCCGTCCCTATTCAACTTTTCTCCGCCCGTTTCCCTTTTCCTCCCCTGCCTTTTTGTCCTCGTGCTCCTACTCCCCGATCCGCACTGCCTCTTCCTCAATCTGACTTGACGGCAGGGCACCGTATTCCTCCTCATTCTTTGAGATCGATCAGATGTTCATCCAGTTTGGTTCGTTCATCTCAAATCATTCTCCTTCTCCTCTCCTTCCTCCTTCTCATCTCCTCCTCCCTCTCCCACCCTATCTCTCTCATCTCTTCCTTGGTGCCTTCCTTCCTGTGACTGCTCATCTTCCTCCTCCTCCTCCTCCTCCACCACCACCACCACCACCTCCTCCTCCTCCTCCTCCACCACCACCACCACCTCCTCCTCCACCACCACCACCTCCTCCTCTCCTCCTCCTCCTCCTCCTGCTGCTGCTGCTGCTGCTGCTGCTCCTCCTCCTCCTCCCCCCCCCCGCTGCTTCTTCTTCCTCTTCTTCTTCTTCCTGATGATCCTGCTCCTCCTCCTCCTCCTCCTCCT